TGCTGAGCCCCACCCACCTGACAGAGCTGAGCGACAGGCACAAGACATGCCGACACTTGTGCTGGAAGCAGATTGCAGTCTCTGCACTTGCTCTGCTAGCAACGCCAAACTTCACCCATCTGCATCCTTGGGTGATCCTCCCCGCACCCCCTAACCAGCTCCGAGCTACCCAGCCCACTCAGCTGAGGACTGCAGGAGCACAGCTGGACAGCAAGAGCTCACCGCATTTTTGGAGAGCTGCTGTAGAGCACCCAACAGTGCTGGGCACCCTCTTCCAGGGCAGACAGGCACGGGGCACTTCAAATGAGGTACACTCCTCCTTCCCCATGTGTGCTTTTGGGACAGCATGGCAGGAATTTACTTCTCTTCAAAACTACATCAAAAGATCCTCAGGCATTTGCAGCCACTAAGAATTGCCAGCATTAATTTTGACATGCTGACCAGCAACGGCAATATTTTTTTCCTTCCTGAATTATTCCTGTTCCCTTGGAAAAGGGTCACAGGGAGGGTCCGTGTTAACAATGTACTCACTTGCCGTTCAAGACCTGCTGTCATCACCTGTAAACCTGAAGCCACCAGTATGCAGCACATCGAGACTACTTTGTTTTAGGAATGAGCAGAACAGCACTGTGCTCCCTTGATTTGCATTAAATATTCATTACAACAACTCAGGTTAGTTTTTTCACAAAGATAATATTTTCTTGGACTTAAAATATTTAACTTCCTTCAAGGGAAGTAACAAACCCTTTTATCATGTGAACTAGGAAGTACCTCAACAGAAGGTAAATTTCCTCTGCTTCCAGTTGTCTCATGTGAGACAAACTATATGCATCACTAAAACCCAAAGTGAATAATATTCAAAATAGACTTTTTCATGCGCTCCTCCTCTCATATGTTGTTTCAATGCTGTTAAGAACATTACACAATGCTCTTGTTTAAAAGCCAGTTTGATCTTTCCAACCTTTAAGCCCATCTATTTAAAAAGTCAAGTTTTTATAAATAACTTTCAGGTCAGATGCACATGAGTAATACTTTCACAGACCTATTACAGACTTTTTTTTACTTTTAATAGTAACTTTAGCTTCCAGACTACAAACCCTCCAAAGCCCACTCCCACTGAAGCTGGTTGCCTTTCCTTCTGCATCTAGCAGTAAGCACCACAGCACTTTGCATGCTCTCCGCTGAGAGGCCAGCTCTTTCCTTACAGAGAATGTGTTTTCTTAGTGTAGCACTTAGCTCTGTTGTCTTCCTCATTCCCAGCACAGTGTACATATTCCACAACCAGCTGCAACACCACAGGAGCGCTCACATCATCCCAGTCACACCAGAGAGGCAGGCCCAGCCCTCAGTTATTTATCTTCCAGAGCAATACCCTGATAAAGCAAGTATGCAGCAAGACAGGTGGGAAAGGAAGGAAATTACCTATATATTTACACAGGTGGAAACAGATATCCCAACTCATTTTGGAGTTGTCATTCTGGAGAAAGCACAAGCCTGGAGTGGGGCAAACAGGTACCAGAAGGAACTGACTGCTATTTCCAACACACAAAGCACATCCCCTTCCTTTGCTGCTGGACACATTTCTCAGAGACTGCTGACGTTATGCAAACCTGATACAAGCCAAGGGGTTAGAAGTGCTCAACAGCATCACCAGGCTCTATAAATAAAATAGCCAGCAAGCCCTAACTCTTATTACAACACAGCCTATGATTTAATTTGCATAAAGGCAACAGCTTTTGGAGACAAAAATCTAAATAGCAAGTCTACCAGCCAGATACTAAAATGAATCAGCAGCAAGACACTCACACCTGTAATGGAGCTGGGTGCATTTCCTTTTCATCAGCAAAAAAGACTACCTAAGAAAGGTCAAGAGATGCTCTTGAAGGTCTGACTGTTGAAAGATTTAAATCCTCGAACTCATTAGCATTATGCCTCAGAATATCTGAATAAAACCAGCTCTTGCTTTCTGCCTGAACACTTATTTAGTCTGGGGGTATCATCTTGTTTAAAAGGATTTGTACAGGAGGTTTCTTTTAGAGAAGTTCTTACCATTTAATCCAGTTACCTTCTGTGTAACTGAGAATGACCCTGAACAGGGCGGGGGGGCGGGGGGAAGGCTGTGAGTGCAAGCAGGCCTCTTGGCATCACCTTGGCCTTTGCTGCTGTTGCTGTCATGTGTTAGCCTTCTACGCTTGCAGAAATCAACCTGAGATGGAGTTTTAAAAAATACTAGGTACAAGTAACTGCGAGTTTTATAAATGTAAAACTTCATCTTAAGGGACAGATTTGTTCACTTAGATATGACCAGTTAGACGCACTAAGTGACCATGAAATGCCTTCTGCTCCTTAACATATTATTTCACTGTCAACTCAACTGATTCACTCTGTTAGTTCTTATTCTAAAGGTGTCCAAAGGTGAAATTGAAGCATTTTGACTTTTACTCGGGGCACATGTAGTATTTCACAGACAATTAAAAATTTACATAGCAATTAACCTCTATTCCGAAGACTAAGGTTCAAATTTCTTACTGGTGAATCAGTTTCAGAGAATGTTCAGGTCCGTGCAGTACAGCAGACTCATGGTCACTGTGCTGCGCTCCCGAGCAGCTCCCAACTCCATCACAGCAAGGGAACAGAGCAGAGATTCTTCCCAGCGAGAGCACTGGGAGAGCCAATGAGTCATGGGAGCCAGCTCTGGCAAGAGACCGGCTGCAGGCACAAACAAGCAGCTCAGATTTCATCAAATGAAAGGCAATAGAGAGCCAAAAGACTTTGTAATATTTACTACATTAATTTCCTATTGGAGGCGAAAGGGGGGGACATCAATACTCTTTTCTGACTGTATCTGCTAACAGAACCAGGCATGGTTCTCTCAGTTCAGGCCTTACAGGAAAATACAAAAATCACAATACAATCCCTAATCTGCTTCCACACAAACATTAACCAGCAACTACGACAACCACCGTTTCATTTGCATTAAGAGATTAGCTACAGCGTATCCCCCAGGGGGGAAAACCTCACAATAAATACAAGGTTTCTGAATGTGATTTTCATAATCTGCCTGTTAGAGACAGGACCTTAAAAACTCCACTGCAAATTCAGTACTCCTTAATCCACTTGCCCATTTTGTTAAACTTTGTTTCAACTGAGTAGCAGTGCTTGACCCTCAGATTACAACTACAGCAAATTTAACTGCATTAAATCTGAAAGGAGAACAGCTGAATTTATCTTAATGGCAGTTTAGGTGCAAAAACTGAACTTAGTAAAGTTCAATTAAAATCTTCAAAAGAAAGACTCCTCCCTTTCCTTTAATATTTCCAGCAAATGAACTATGGTAAAGAGTGTGCAAAATGTGAATTCAGCTAAAGCAAGCATGTACTTATTTTTCCAGTACAGAATCTTTAACAAAGCAGAAACTGACTGCAAAGCCTTACAAGACATGCATGCTGTTGTTTTTATTTGATTGAATTTGGAGAAAGAAAAGAAAAAAAAAAGAAAAAAGTTAAATCTACCATAATGTACAGAAAATACAAAGACTTCCCATGCATAACCACTATTTTATGACCAGAAGAATGCAGAAGTTTTGGGGAAAGTACCAAGTTCCTCTCCTGTTTGATACTCCATGAAGTCTTGTCCCCAGGGGTGGTCTGACAGGTCCAAGAACAGAGACCTGTATTGTTGGAGCTGGGCTACTCCAAATGCAGGGCTCTCCAGCCACTTCCAGTGACTGGAACTGTCAGTTCCAGGAACTAACACCAGGCCAACAAAACACAAATTTTGCATTGTGCTTGGTCATACTTCTTTTAAAACATTCCTTAAGTGCATAACTGGCTTCTAAATCCATAACCACACTTATTTCAAAATTATTCTTAAAACTCCTTCTGCACGTTTATGCTCCCAGTTTATTTGTATCTCCTGACAGTGAATAAACCTGCTGCTAAACTACTTGTCAATATAAAAACCAGGTGCCATGTTTTCTCTCACCTCTGAAGGCCCACAGTTAAAGAAAATTAAACACAGGATTGAAGCTATACCATGTATTTGTAAATAAAGTAACTCAACAGAACAAGATTACAAAGTATGAAATGAGCCCTTTCAGAAAGTTTTAACTACAAGGAAAGTCAATGTTCAGTCCATTTTCAGATGAAAAATTCCACACGCACACATTGGTTTGGTTACAGCTTCAGGGGTCAGTGCAGCACAGTGCAAGTTTCCTTCACAGATAAAAAGATATATGAAGTAGGTGCAAGTACATTCTCAAAATACAGGATGTGATCTAACTCTCAAAAACCCTTTTCCCACCACCAAAAGGTGCTGAAAAGCAAAACCTATGGAAACCAAGGGGAAAGTACACAAGGAGATGGACTCTTTAATAAGACAAGTTAAAATTTGACAGCTTAAGAATGAGGAAACAACTGGATAAGGAAGAAAACTACTGTTAGTCATTGGAAGGTAAGTACAAGGGAGGTTTATACTTTGATTCTAGAGAAAAACTGAAGCTAGCAAGTCTCCACTCCTGAAACAGAAATTCCAACAGGTACAAAAAGCACTATTAACTCAAAGTGCCTTCTCAGAACAGCCCATTTTCCCTGCTGCAGAGTCACCACTCCATCTTTCAAGGAAAAAGTATATACAACTATTTCCACTAGTCTTTCAATATATACAATCTGACAATTTTACAGAATCTTCCTGGTCCCAAGTTTGCATCAAAGTGTTTTTTCCCTTTGTGTATTTATTTCCAAATAGAACAAATACCCCTCAGTGCTTCTAAAGAAAGCCTTATTTTTAGAAATTGTCTAAGCTAAAAATACTGATGCAATTTTCACCTGAAGCAATGTCTTGCAAAGTATGAATGTAGAGTGCCTCTCTATAGATGCTAAGTGCATCTTCAGCTACCAGAAATTTCATGGAGGGATACAGCTCTGAAGTACTCTGCTAATCTTTACAAAAAAATATGACTGATACTTTCAGCATACAGAATGGGAGACTAGTGCAACATGCAGCATTGATTGTTTATTCAATAAATATTTAACCCAATTATTGCCAACCAAGGCAAACAGTGCAGAAATTGTCATTTAGAGATACAAAAGTTTAACATTTTTTGTATAAAGTCAGTTGCTACTATATTCATACAACTATTTCAAAGAGGTTTTTCTGCTTCAAAATTGAGGTTATCATTATAAAAATACAGAAACATGTATTTGGGGGTTTAACATGTCTTTGCAAATGTAATTTTTGCATTTATATGGGAACATGACACTTCTGTATTCAAGAAATTAAAATGAACACTATGATAGTGACATTTTCTGCACTGACGATTTCATGATAGTCCTTAAATACATTTTTCTTGGTCCTGGGTATACATTTAAAATGAAATAACTTGCATCTTACATTTATCCTGAGGTCAGCTGTGTAAAAAGGAAAGCCCGTTTTATAAGGATACTTGCAGGCTTCTTGTTCAAAATATGAGGTTATTTTTAAACAAGCCAATAAAACTCCTGGGGGAAGAAAAAACCCAAGACTCTCACCAGTGTTTTAAGAAAAAGAATTTGTGACATTTTTGGGAATTACTTCCAAAAATGTGTAGGCTAGCACACCCAAATGCTGTGTCACCCAAGTAAAATTTCAGTATGCATTTGCCAAATTTGAAACTTAGAAACTGTTCTGAAAAGAAACTATATAAATCCCCAAGAAGAATCTCCCTAAGCTTCTCATCTCAAGATCCCAACCCACAGCACAACTTCTGCAAGGAGAAAGCTGCTGAAAAGCCTGTGGGAATCTGAAGTCTTCAGTCTGCCTGCATAGGTGAGGACATGCCATTTGGGTCTCCATCATCCACCATGGGGTGCAGTTATGACCTTGTCAAAGCTCCACTTTGAACACAGCAGTTATTTTCAATAGCACCAACAATCTTTCAGACACCAGCATTTAGGCAAATGCAGACAAAAAATACGTTTGTTTCTTCCTGAATCAGCACAATTGGTACAAGGCACTGCTTGGCATAGGAAATCATAACTAACTGCAAAACAAGAGTTCCCATGTTTTGTGACATTTAGGTTTGCAAATTGGATGACCTTGTAATTAATTATATACCATGGCTAGAAAAATAAGATGGTCTACAGGATTAATGAAAACAACATCATCCCATGCACGCTTACAGTCTTCCTCCCCAGATGTGAAAAAAACCCCACATAACATACCAATGTGAAACATTAGAAAGTATGGGTTGTTAAATTAAGAAAGTACATTTCATTCTCCAATCTTCCACAAGACTTAGACACAACTCAAGTAAATGAAGTTGGAAAATATTCTGATAACATTTGCACCAGTCTATCCCTGCAGAGGAGAAAAAAACAACTATTGTCTAGAGAATTCATAGATTGAGGCACATTGCAGTTGAATATATTCAGGCATATTTCATGGCTAGAACAGGATTTCTCTGAGGAACCTCACTACAGACTTCCCCAAAAGCAGCTCCATATGGTTTGAAATACAACTTGCAGCACATGGAAAAAACATTTGGTCCTTAATCGCTACTGTCTTCATCATCATCATCATCAGACACATCATTTAGAGATGACTTAGGTGACTGGCTGTAGGAGTCTGACCTAGAGGACTGACAAGCAGTCATCTCCCCAGTAGAAAGAAGATCATAGCAGAAGTCGCAGATTCTCACTGGCTTGGAAGACTGGCTTGGGAGCAGAAACCTCTTTTCCGAGCAGGGCCCGCACACAACAAAGCCGCACTTGCGGCAGTGGTGACGACGGTTGACGGGCGTAAACTTGGCTTTCTGACAGCGCATGCACACAGTGGCTTCCGAGTCCGGTACCCACACAGCTGCGTGTTCATTGCTAGGGGTCTTCCCACTTTTGGAAAGCAAATCAGAAACACACTTATTTATGTGGTTCATCCATTCCGACTTCTCTGTAGCAGTGGCAGCATAAACCGCAAAAGACTTCGTTGGCGTCTTGATAAGCCACCCATTCCGTAAGTCTCCCTCATCCTGGATGGAATCAATAGTGACGTTTTCCAGTGGGATTATGTGCTGCTTATTGTATTTCTTCTTCTGGATGACAATGTTACCATAAACAAGAATGTCATTGAACAGGAAGAACTGCCTTGCTTTGGGCTTCTTCCTACACAGTTTTGTTAGGACTCCCTCTCCAATCAGAACACGGCCAGGAATAGTCAGGGGTTGACCAGCTGCTCCAAAGCAGTTTTCCACTATACTTATTCTTCTAGTATTTGCCTCACTGTTTGCCAAGCGATCCACCATCTTTCACAAGTATCCTAAAATTAGAAAAAAAAGTTTGTTATTAGAACAGGACTGATTCAACAGCAAGCAGCCTTCCCCAAGGAAGGTACCAACCCCGCATTTCTTAAAATATCTAACAGGACCTGCTGGCTGAGAGGCATTGACTTGGGCTAGATTTAAATAAGTATTAACACCTAAGAATTTTTAGCAACCAATTAGTCTTTTTTCCAAAAGCAAAAATGTTCTATGCAGCTGACAGCTATCTTTATCACACAGACAGCACCCACAGCACCGCATTTAAGAGCCTCTGGCAACAAACTAGTTCCTCTCTAGTAAGGCTACTGCAGACTGGTTTAATGCTCCTATTTCTCTGTATATCCTCCTGCACCTACTTCAGACAGAAGCAGGATGCATCACCCATCATTTCAAATTCTAATGCTAAAAAAAAACAACTTAACTGAGCAGCCTGGAGACCCACATTAGTTTTAACACAACAAACAAATTATATAATTGCTGTTCACATAGGAAACCACACACCCCAAGCTAGCTCACTACTGCTCTTTTTTTCCCAGTATGTAAACCTCAAGTCATGGGCCAAAACCATGAATCTACCTGCTGGAAATATTTTGTACAGGCCACAGCTTGCACCCCCCACTACATCTGCTTTCATGGCACTTTTTTCAACTCTTGAGCCAGGAACAAGGAGTGAGTCATGGGTTGTGGCTCATCACCTGCTTGCTGCTGCCTTCATTTTACAGGAGTTCCACAGTCCCTCTGTCCTCACCTACATGAACCACATCTGCATCCATCACATTCAGGCGAGCTACACTGGCAGACCCGCACAGAGGACAAACCACAAAGCTCACAATTGCCCCTGAGAAATACTAAGTGACCTGCACCAGCTCAAAATTTAAAAAAGACTACTTTATATTTCAGGAAGTGCTAATGAACTGTATGCTCCAATTCCAGATTAAAGCCCATCTTGTTGTTCCCCAAATAGCAAATAAGATTTTTTTCTTGTGTGAGATAGCTAAGGCATCCAACAGGGAACTAAAATTAAGAAGTCACTATAGTGATTCATACCTTAGCAAACCACTCTTTAGCCTCTTTCGCCCTAAGGTTTCCCAGGCAGAAGTCTGGCAAAGGCAAATCTTCCCAGTACAATCCAGATCTGCTCCCTTGAAATCCCTTGTGAGTACAGCCATCAACCTGAACTGGTGTGCTCGATGAAGCAGTGAGACATCTGGCAGAGGCAAGTACTATGGACAGACTTTTTCTCAGCATGCAGAAGACGTTCCCCCATGCCTTGCAGAGGGCTGATGCACAACACCCTTTGCTACAGCTACAGCTTTGAACAGCAAAGGAGAGAAGAGCACCAAATACTCCAGTGCCTTCTACCTGTGCTTCACAACATGATCCCAGGTTGGGAAGTCCTCTACATCACCTGCGTTTTCTTTAATCTGCATTGTCTCCCATCAATACAGCATCAGCCTACAACCAGGAGGAAGCTGGGCTGGACAAGGCTCAGACTTGATGCTGCTTATCAAGTCTCCATCGCTTTGCTGTGACCTGACCCAGGCAATCTTCCTCCTATGAATCAAAGCACAGATACTTCCTTGCAAAATAGAGATGAAACACCTCATCAGGCCTCATCTAAATAAGTATGTTACCTGTGATTACACGTATCCACATGCCCAATGTTAAGTATTATTATTGTAAGTTACTGCTTTGAAAGTGTAATTAGTTTCACACTAAAGCAGTTTGACAAGTAAGCTTGCACAGATATAACTACCTTTTTTAAGCTCTGCAGAAATTATCTTGTATCAAAGTGTGACAAAGAAGAACCTCTAAAAGTTATTTCTCAGCACTGTTTTTGTATTTTCTTTACATGCCTCATAGCATTAGTTACAATACATAAGTATTGCGTTAACTGGTTTTATAGTTAGGAGAATTACAAAGCCACCAAATCCAAAACAATTTTGATCTGCAGACAGTGAAGACAAAATACAAACTGCCAAGTAAAAAGTAGAAAGAAAGGAATAGAAAAGAAATTAGGAGCTTTTTTATGTGTACTTGCTGATGTCCTAGGCTCCAAAATTGAATTCAGGTGCCTGACTGCTGAAGCCCAGGATCTGGAAGACAGTTAATTGCCATTAACTGCCAAAGAACCATTCTCATTTAACAACACATGAGAAATATACAGCCTTTGCAAGCACTAAAACTGAACCAATAGCCCTTCAAACTTAAAAAGCAAGGCCTCAGTCAGTCAGGGTCAGTCTAAAGTTATTTAGTAATCCCATGTTCTCCACGAAGTGGGAGAGGACATCAGTCATCAGAATGCAAAGGGGACAGTCAAGAAAATACACTTTTCTGCTAGTACAAATCAATATGTACCACTTATGAACTTACATTTTTATTTAAATTATCTACAAGTTACAGCAAGTTAAATCCTTTTGGGAGCCCACAAGGGGGAACACTACTCCCACACCACCCCCACAAATACAAACATACTGATGGGTCACAGTGAAGCAAGCTCTTGGTGTGAAGCCACCTGTAGGAAGCAGTTGCTGCTCCACAGTTCCAACTTGGCCACTGCACTCCCTGCAAATAAACTGCAAACTCAGTTCAAGGCCACTGCAAAAGCTTTCAAAATACAAGTCACTGGGAGAAGAAAACAAGGGGAGAAAAAGCTAAAGGCTTTAATTAACTGTTCCCTAGGACAATGTAAGAGAAAACAGCTCTAACCAGGATCATTTAATAATCATCATGGCTTGAAACCAAGACACACGACTCTAGAACTCGTGCTGAAGACTGTATTTTGAGCTTGTTGTGAAAATAATCACTAACTGGACCTTAAGCAAGAATAGTGGGAAAGTTAAGGACTATTAAAGAAGACAATATAAAATACACCTCTTCTAGACTTAAACTTTGTTCTGTAATGGATAACAATCCCACATGATGGCCTCAAGGCTGTAAATGCCAGAGACTGCTGCTGCCATTTCCACCTTTCCAAGGCATTAATTGTATTTTCCCACACTAACAGATTATTTATTTTAATAATATTTAATAATTATTATTAAATAATATTAATTATTATTTAATAATATATTATTATTATTATTAGAATAAGCACTCAGATATTTTTCTCATGAGTTTTTAAAGAACTAAAAATTAAAAATCCATCTGAAATCCTATGTACACTAATGCTCATATATCTTCACTAGCCTTTTCTGGGAAAGGAATTAAGTCCAGAAATGGGTGGGAAACTACCCAAAACACATCCTGATTACAAATAGTCATGAAACATGACACAATAAACCAGAAATACAAGAGAAGACATCCCCAAATGAGAGGAGCTAAAGTTACAAGAAGTACACCTCTTCCTCTCATGAGCACACTGACCAAGGAGATTTAAATTACAATATTGTCTGGACACACTGATGAATTTTTAACTCCAAGATGTCACAGTCCAAAAGCAAAGTTATCAATTACCAGTCTTTAAAAATTACAATCTTGTTTTAAAGCATATTCAAGTCTATTGTAAGAGATAGCAGATCATTGTACCCTGAAACTGGGTAACAATATCCTTCTCTCTTCAGAATAAACTTTATTCTGAAGCTTCTGCTGTTGGCCACTATGAGAAACAGATACTGGATTACTGTCCTGAAGATGCAGAATCTCAAGACCTGATCAAACAAAGCAATTCCTGATGGATGGCAAATTGCCGAAAATGTGCCCAAATCCTTCCCCAACCAACTGAAGGGATAAACCAGAACTACAGGCTTCAAAATTAAAGGTTAGACAGCCTCACTTAAGGGGAGAGTATCTTGTATATAGTCTCAGTTTATGGATGCTGTGAAATCAAAAACCTCAAATCTATTATTCAGACTTTATCATATGTGAATAACTGCACACTTCTGGCACACAAACTCCCAAAAGTCCAGAAGCCCTCATGCAAGGGGGACTCCATTTGTGATGGACTGATGGTCCTCACAGACATCAGATTCATTTGCTGCGTCCAGACAGCAGCACAATACTAGCTGCTAGTCAAAACATTACAAAAAAAACCAAAAAACCAGCAAAACTCAAAACAAACCAAAGGAACACAAACAGATCACTTTGTAAAAAAAGGAGTTACAAAGAGCTACTTCATAAGCCTTTCTAAATAAATAAATCTCAACTCTCAAAATGTTGCAATACCTTCAGTTTGTCCCTCTCATACACACGCTCCTAGTAAGTACCTTTCATGATGAAAATGCTGGGCAAAGGCTTTCATTTCCATGGCATAATATGCTATTTAAAGGTGACAAAATATTTAATGACACAGAAAGCCCCAACTCTTCTACATTATAAAGAACTGTCTTTGACACTTAAGTTATTTCCACTTTTAGTCACATGAAGCCTCTAGAGAAATAACAATTGTTATCAAGATATCAAAATCTTCTTGCTACCCTATTTCAGTCCAGTTTTACATTTGTATCCTGTTGGTGAGAACAACTATCTTGAATGTGATCAAACATACTGAAATTTTTAAAGACCTAACAAGTTACCCCCTTACCTAAAACATAATCCATGTTGAGGAAGTCATGTACTTAGTACAGTTATTAACATTCCAAACTACTGCAGCAGGAAAATAATTCTATTAGGGTTGCTGTGCACTGACAAGTCTACACATAATTTTTTCTTTTTGCCACTGTATCCTGGAGACCAAACCAATGATCTCCCAGGACTCAGCACTTCTACAGGCCTTATTTAAAAATAAAATGTTTCTCTTATATGCTAGCTGTGCTTGTGATAGTGGTCAGACTAAATTGTGATAGTGGCCAGCACAGAATTGCTGCAGCTGAGGACAGACATAAGGAGTCAACTAAAAAGAATGCAATCCTGACTGACATAGTTACACCCAATTCAGTACTGACAGAAAACTTTTCTACTACTACATTAGCACTGTAGGAATTAGCATTAACACCATAAGCAGAACCACAAATAACAAAGGTGCTGGAGGGAAGAAATGAGATTACAAAAAGCTGTTATG